CAGGAATGGAATTGGTATAGTATGTATTCTTTTGTGTCTGACTTCTTTGGCTCAGCTTTTTGCTTGTGAGATTCATACATGTTTTATAATGATTTGTCTCTGAGGATGAGTGATAGAGTATATATGGGTGTTCCATGTAAAATTCTTTATATCTCTTTGTATATTTGAAATATTTCCTAATTTTCCAAAAGCAGTGTGGCTAGGACACAGCAAGTGTTGTCTGCATGAATGCACAATGAAGTCAGCTGGGGCTAACTTACTTTAGATCTTATATGTTTTGCTAAGTTTTAGTGATTTTCCTTACCCCAGAGGAATGCCATTGAGGAGTTTTGAGCCGGAAAGTGACATATCTTATTTAATTTTAGGTGGAACAATGTGAATGCCTTGCAGAAAAGGGATTGGAGGACTGAAAAAGTAGAAATAGAAAAATTAGATTTTTGCAGTGGGTTCGGTAAAAGGAGATACAGAAATACATCCTTTCTGAACCTGTCTCTAGTCCTCCCAGCTAAGTCCACCAAACCTTCCAACCTGTAGCCCCTGTTTTACCCCTGTTTCTGCCCAAGTTCCAGAACTGACCATATCAGAGAAAAAAATTATTTAAGTGCTGGGCAGGCATGCTTCATATGCTCATCTTCTGACACTTTCAACCCAGATTAGGTGAACAAGTATCAAACCTCAAGCTCTGAACACTCTGACAACAGTATCCTGCAGTAAACACTTGTTGCAGACCTGAGCAGGGCTTTGATGCTTGCTTATAAGCCCTTATCTGTGAGCTAGTTTGTAGCCTCTGATAAGTTGAAGGTCCCTTTTGAGTTGCTGATTAGCATCTAGTTGATTCCCTTTTGTATCCCAGTAGTGCTTGCAGTTTTACAATACCTAGTTCTTTTTTTTTTTTGCAGTACGTGGGCCTCACTCTTGTGGCCTCTCCCGCTGCGGAGCACAGGCCCCAGACGCGCAGGCTCAGCGGCCATGGCTCACGGGCCCAGCCTATCCGCGGCATGTGGGATCTTCCCAGACGGGGGCACGAACCCGTGTCCCCTGCATTGGCAGGCGGACTCTCAACCACTGTGCCACCAGGGAAGTCCCAGTACCTAGTTCTTTTAAGGCCCCGTTCCTGAAGACTGGGTCTTTCCCAGGAACTTTAGCTCCAGGTGCTAGGGCCCTATTGACTCCTGGCAGATCTTGACAGACTGCAAAACTGCAGAGCTCTTCACAGATTTCTAATTTCTGTACTTGGGACACCTGTTGGAAAGTTAAACTTCTCCAATGTGGACACCTGAGTGCTGATCATCTATCTGCCTAAATCCCAGTCAGGGACTGTAGAGTTTGTATGATTAGAAGGCTGGCAACCTTGGCTGAATTTGCTAAGCCCTTTCTATGTTTTAGAAATACATTCTTGCATTTCCTGTCCCCACGGATAGTCTATTTCCAGCCCTCAACACCATCCCTGTCTTGTTAACATCCAGGCCTCCCTGAGGCATCTTGAGGTAAGTTACCAGCATGTTTATTATTCTTTTAAATAGTTTGCTTGGTCTCTTTGACTGATTCACTTCTAAATATTTTTTACTCCACTCCCTCTACCTCCCTGCTATTAATCTTTTCTTCTAATAGCTTTATTGAGATATAATTCAGATTATAAGATTTACCCATTTAAATGTATAATTTCTCCCTCCCTATTATTCTTAACGAAAATGTACAATAATTATAGAATGACCTTAATTAAATGATTGTTGGGGCTTCCCTGGTGGCGCAGTGGTTGAGAGTCCACCTGCCGATACAGGGGACGCGGGTTCATGCCCCGGTCCGGGAGGATCCCACGTGCTGCCGAGTGGCTGGGCCCGTGAGCCATGGCTGCTGAGCCTGCGCATCCGGAGCCTGTGCTCTGCAGCGGGAGAGGCCACAACAGTGAGAGGCCCGCGTACAAAAAAAAAAGCAAAAGAAATGATTGTTGGATGAGTGTCTGGGGAAACCTCAGGTTCACACACTAAACTTACCTTGGGACTCATTAATTGTTTCTTTAAGGTTTGATGGCTCATCAAGGACGTGGGGATAATAACACTTAATTCTTGAGAGGTTATGAAGATTAAGTTATGGTCAGAGGAGTGCCCCCACTTATAATGCCACATGTCTCCATAGTATATGTCAGTAATTGTCCTGGAAAGGACTTAACATCCGGGTGTTAAGGCCCATTTAGAGGGCTGCAGTGACATTTTGCAACAACATATGGTGCTGTGGTACTATTTTCTTCCTCCTTCCCTCCTTCCTTCCTTCCTCCCTTTCTCCCTCCCTCCATCCCTTCCTCCCTCCTTCCTTCCCTCCTTCCCTCCCTCCCTCCCTCCCTCCTCCCTCCTTCCTTTCTTCCTTTTCTTCTCTCTCCCTCTCCCTCCGTCCCTCCCTTGCTCCTCCCCTCCTTCCCTCCCTCCCTTCCTTCCTTTCTTCCACCCATTAAAAATACTAATAGGACTTAGGTAAAACTCAAGTGAGTCACTTTTGTCTTCTAAGGAGCAGATTTTTTTAAAAATCTTGAATAATGAGGGACACAGTTGTAGTGCCAAAATAATTGACCTACTATTTAAGAGAAGAATTTTATATATCTTTCTAGAAAACAGAACCTGGGTAAACAGGTTGAAGTTACTGAGATGAAGTCTTCAACTCAACATAGGGAGGAAAGATCTAGCAAGAGAGTCAACCCAGAAAGGAATACTGAACCCTAGAAAACAGACGAGCGCCCGGTCACGGCACGTAGCACAGAGAGGCTGGCATAAGGGTTCACTTCATTCACTGGCTTTTGACCTGAATGTTTAGAATCCTTTTAACTCAAACATAATTACATCCATTTATAAAAGCAGAGCATTTCCCGCAGTAAAACACAACTACTATTTAAACAAAGTTTAAAATTTATAATCAAAGGTAAAATGTTACATGCATTGTGAACTGTAACAAGGCTGGAATATAAACTCCAACAGGACAAGTGCTTGCCTATTTTATTTATTGCTGTATAAATCCCCATTGCCCAGAAAAATACCTGATATGTTTTCATCAATTCACTTGACGAATGAATAAAAAAACCTCAATATTCTATCAATAAAAACACATTTGACATTTTAAAGTAGACTTAGATTGGAATCTAGTGTAATGTGAAATTAGAAAAAAATCACTGATATGGATCAAACAGTTGCTTGCTCCCAATTTGAGTAGTACTAATTATTGTTGATCCAAGATGTTACCTAAATAATACTTCATTATTTTAAATTTGCTGAAATAA